GGAGGGTCGATGAAAGAGGGGGAGGCCTTCAACGAGATGGATTGATATGGTGGCTGCGATGATGGGCTCAAGTATAGCAGGGATTGTGGGGCTGGCACGGGATCGGGCAGTGTTTCGTTCTGCTGTGCATGGCGTCACTATGAGTCGGAAACGACTCGACGGCACCTAACAACAACAAGCTACAATTCTGGTTCAGGAAAGTTCTCAGGATAAAATTATTTGATCAGGACAGTCTCCCTTCTGCTATGCCCTCAGTCACGCCTCTCTGGCCGTTGGCCTCTCGTCCTGGTCTCCACCTCTGTGGGCCAGGTAAGTCTGCTTCTCTGTCTCACACCTCTCAGTTCTACTACCATTGTCTCCTTGCCAAGGCTTCTGTCTGCTGAAATGTCTCTCCACTGCGGTGTCTCTCAGCTAAGGAGGTCTAGCACAGGGATCTTGGGTCCAAAGATGTGCTCCACTTCACCTCCAACTCTTCTCTCTTGATAGCAGTGAGATCCACCCTCTGCTTCTTGGGAGGCCCCTTTTAAGCCTGACAGAGTGACAAAACTAACCAGCCTCCCAACATCAGAGTTCTACACACCTTATTTGCATGGTCCCAGTAGGAGAAAAGAAAAGCCATACCAAGTAATTCACTGCATTGTACCCTTCTAAGTTTGAGTGGAAGACAAGAATGTGTGAAACTTATATTTCTATATCCATTTAGTAACATAATTCAGATATGTCCACAAAGAAATGTAGTTTCCTTTGATGACAAAGAAATAGGACTACCTCTCTATAGGTAGGGAGCTCTGGTGGTGTAGTGCCTAAGGCATTTGACTGCTAACCAGGAGGCTTGCAGTTCAAACCCACCAGCCACTTCTCAGAAGGAAGATTGGACAATCTACTTCCATAGAGATACTGCCTTGGAAACACAAGGAGTTGTCACTAGGTAAGCAGTGTCTCAGAATAATGGTCTGCCTGATTTCTATGAATTACAGACTTCTCCACAACAAGAGCTTCAATCTAAACCATTTCTATAAGTTGTATTACAAATGATGATCCTCTTTTGGAAAAGAGAATGGCTTAGTGCTGAAGACCTACTTATGTTGAACTGTGTCAGGGACAAATCATGAAATAATTTGGAGTTCAGTCTGACAATATTGGATTTGATTGGAGAGTGAATAACCATTATAAATTCTAGAGTAGAACATTGATCTAATGAAGAATATAAAGTTTGAGAAAGATTATCTTAAAAGCCCTATGTTGGCAGGAGAAAGTAGGGGAAATACTGGAAATAGGAGAAATAAAGAATGTTAAGTATATCTATGCATCATTGAATATTTCTGTAGCGATTTGGGAAGTGTGCTTCCAGAATACCTCTGAATTAAGGGAAAGAACCACTTCTGATTGGTCAGTGAAATGATTTACAGACCATCAAATGTCAAGAGACATTTTCCAGTCATTCATTCTTTCTGCAATTTAGAAACTAAATATAAGCAGTAAAGCAATTATGAAATCACAGATTTTTTCCCCATCAAGACATTTCCTGAATACTGTTGTGACAGAGGAATCAATAGTGGACTACAAGAATAGAGTGTAATATTTAAATCAATGAGACAGTGGTTTGAAATTATTTTTCAAATAATTCAATATGCTTGAGGACATACTCAGTACATTGATAACAGTGATCTGAGTTTTCATGATTCTCAAAGGCCCAATGCCTGGCGAGGAAGGATAGAAAGAGTGGTGTCACAGCACACTCTCTGGAAGACATATAGTTAGGACAGTTAGGGAATGATGTTGTTGTTGTTATGTGCTGTCGAGTTGGACCCGATTCATAGCGACCCCTCCTTGGATTTCCAAGACAGTATCACTATGGAAGTAGATTGCCCAACTTTCCTTCTGAGGAGTGGCTGGTGGGTTTGAACCACCACCCAGTTAGGAAATACCACCAAGCAATTTGCATATAACCTCCTATGGGTAAGATGGTCTGAGCCATTGGAGTCTCTGGAGTCAAGTCATGCAGGACGTTCGAACTTCTCACTAAAATTATTTCCTAGGTTTTTTTGTTTGTCTTCTTTTGTTATATTTTGTTTGCATTCACTTGTTTGTGCCTATTATATTTGCTTTTAAAATTCACTGTCCCCATGTTCACATCTCATTTTTCTGACTAGAAATATAATGAAACTCATTTAAAAAAATGAGTCCTGGGGTTGACCGATATGTGAAAATAGGTTTCTGTACAACCTACTGTGCCCAACAATTTTGTTTCTTCTTTTAGTTAATATTTTATAGAAAGCCAAGTGATAGTGCTATGCTTACTGATGGATTGTTTGGAACATTCTCTCCCACTCACAGTTCATTCATTAGGAACATGGCAATGTCCTCTTCCATAACTCTTCTTTTTGTCCATAGTAGTATTGATTATGTAAAATAACATGACTCTTATCTATTAATACAGAGATCAACTTACTTAAGAGTTGTCCTCATACTTTATGAGCAAGTATTTGTATTGTTTTGCCAGGGACAAAAAGATCCTTTTGTCTATATAATTAGATGCTACAACATATTTCATATTTCATTTAAAGTTTACTTTACTTAAGATCAAGGAGTCATGGTAGCACATAAGTTAAGCATGTGATGGCTAACCAAAAGGTCAGTGGTTCAAACCCATCAGCTGCTTTTCAGGAGAAAGATGTGGCAGTCTGCTTCCATAAAGATTTACAGGCTCAGAAGCAGTTCTACTCTATCCTACAGGGTCACTATGAGTCAGAATTGACTCAACAGCAATCGGTTTGGCTTGAGTTACTTAAAATCTAGAGAGAGAAATATGTGTGTGTGTGTGTGTGTGTGTATACACTCATATATGTTTTTTTTATTGATGTGTAATCATCCCAAGTGAATGAAATATAAAACTATCCAGTTAGTCAAATCTAATTTACTATCCTGGGAACATATCTCTAGCATGTTAGGGACAATTCTGTTCCACTTTTTACCTTCTTCCCTAAATAGTATTTGACTACAACTGAAATGTAGTCTATGGTTATATCCAACAATTATGTTGTGTATAAGTAATGCAAGTAAATAGTCACAAGTTAAACTTGGTTTTTAGTAAAGTTAAGGCTGGAAATAGTTTTACAAAAATGTTTTAAAAAACTTTAAAAAATTTTGTATATAACTTCATGTTTTCTAGACAAAATGAAAGAACTGTACTTCTCATTTTGTTATTTTCATAATATCTATTGTTTTCTTTCATCTTTTCTTAGTGTGCATTGGTATATGAATGTACAGCCCCAGAAAGTGTGAGCGGAAAAGATAACTTACCTTTTTTGAATGCAGGTATGTACCTCCATTTTGGATACTTACATTAGTTTCACATAAACATAAATTTTGATTTCCTGCAAAGTTAACACTGAACCTGGGCAGCATTCTCAGAGAATCATTCATTACATAGAAAATTAGCTGATAATCATGAGGAACCAGCATGGATTCAGTAGGAAAAAGACATAACCTCATTTATGCAGTCCAGATTGTGTATGTGTGTACTGTTTTGCTTATAGTAATATACTTGAAACTCAACACAACACTAAACAATGTTATTAAATGATGACCTTATGAATGAAACTCAGAAATGTGGTAGTTAAAAAATACATGATAATTGATATGCATAAAAATTATATAATTAATTTATGAATGATAATGTAAATGATAATAGCATTCATCATAATAATTATAAAATAAACTCTGGTGGCACAGTGCTTAAGACATTTGACTGTTAACAAGAAGGTTGGAGGCTCAAACCCACCAGCCACTCTGCAGAAGGAAGATTGGGCAATCTACTTCCATAAAGATTTACCATCTTGGAAATCCAATGGGGGTTGCTATGAGTTGGTGATTTGATGGCTCAATGGCAGTGGGTTTGATTTTTTCATTTTATAATAATTATAAAAATAAATAATAACTGTTACAGTGACTATACTAAGTATCTTACATTCCTTGCATTACCCAGCCCTCTGAAATATGTTATGAGGAAGTTATTATCATTATCCTCATCTTTTAGATGAGAAAATTATTCTAGGTCATCTACAGAGTAAATATGGGCCTAGCGTCCAAACCCAGATTTGACTCTATGACTTTGCTCTTAAATTCTAGGCTGTACTATTAATAATAAGACATTAATAACAAATTAGTGTCACAGTAGAACATTCTTTAATCTTTTTCTTTACCCTGTCTTGTTAAACGTTTAAGCAATAGCATAGCATGATAACCAGATTAACAAATGACAAAGAACCAGTTTTGCACTGCTAAGGAATCCACTAATAATAAGGAATAAAGGCAGGGTAGATTCCACCAAGGCACACCGTTGACTATACATATACCCACCAAACCAAAAATGCCATCGAGTGACAGCTACTCACTCTATACAGCAGAGTAGAACAGCCCCATAGGGTTTCTAAGGCTGTAAGTCTTTACAGAAGCAGACTGCCTCATTTTTCTCCTGTGGTGTGGCTGGAGGTTTGTACCACGAAACTTTTGGTTAACAGCCAAATGAATGAACCACGACACCACCAGAGCTCCTTATTTATACCCATAAAAACCAAACCCAACCCACTTCCACTGAGTCAATTCTGACTCATAGTGACCCCCATTGGGTTTACAAGATGGTAAATATTTGTGGAAGTACATCACACCATCTTCCTTTTGCAAAGCAGTTGGTGGTTTTGAACCACCAACCTTCTGGCTATCAGTCAAATGCATTAGGGATGATGCCACCAGAGCTTCTTATTTATGCTCATAGAAAACTCAAAATAAAATTTAATGGACAGAAATTTAAATAATAATAATAATAATAAAATAATAACAATTCTTATGTAGAATACGAGATCATACCAAAGGACAGATGCTTCTCAACATATGACCAAATGAGATATATATAGATATAGATATATTTTATTTTTCTAATTATTATTTGTAAAGGGTGTAATGTTGGGTGGGATGTACCTTAACCAGTCTACTCAGAGAGGAGTGATCAGCCAAGTGAATTCAATGAAATGACAGAAATGGCAACAAATTTTCCCTCATATCTTACTGAATGAGGGAGACAGAGTCTCCTAGCAGCTAGTGTGAACATCTGTGGGGAACTTGGTGTAATAACTATTCAGTAAAAGTGTGATTTACTGTCAGAAAAGTTAATATGAACCAAAGCTACAGTTAATAGAAGCAGACCTTTATCATACAGATGCAGAAATATTATGTCTCTAACATGATGTCATCAGTATATATAAACAACACTTTTTCACTCTCCAGAGACAAACACAACTGCAAGATTTGTTTCTTATTTTTCATAACCCCTGTCATAACATACTTTGTTTTCTAAATATCCAAAGCACCCAGAATGTAAGAAACAAGGGAAGCTTCTTAAGGCTAGTGTGCTCAGTCTGACTTAGAGAAAAGTCAGGGCTTATGGCACCCTTGTCTTGCAGCAAAAGCTCATGTCTCGTTGAGCCCTAGTTCAAATGTTTCATTGTTCTTAGGTGTCATCAAGTTGGTTCAAATGAATAGCCACCTTATGTACAAAATAAAACACTGTCAGTGCTGCCTCATTCTCACAGGCATTGCAATATTTGAGCTCATTATTGCAGCTACTGAGTCAATACATCTTGTTGAAGGTCTACTGCTTTTTTTCTAATACTCTTTTTGACCAAGCATCATGTGTTTCCCAGGGATTGGTCCATCCTTATCACATGTCCAAAGTACATGAGACAAAGTCATTCTGGTTGTACTTCTTCAAAGATAGTTTTGTTCCTTCTTCTGACAGCCCATAGTGTATTCTGTGTTCTTCACCAACATCAACATTCAAGTGCATCAATTTTTCTTTCATCTTCTATATTCATTGCTAACCAGAAGGCTGGCAGTTCAAACCCACCAGCCACTCCTCAGAAGGAAAGTTGGGCAATCTATTTCCATAGTGATACTGCCTTGGCAACCCAAGGAGGGGTCTCTATAAGTCAGGGCCGACTCGATGGCACAAAACAACAACATTCATTGTCCACCTTTTGCATGTATATGAGGAGATTGAAAACACCATGGCTTAGATCAGCCACAGCTTAGTCTTCAAAGTGACATCTTTGCTTCTTAACACTTTACAGAGGTCTTTTGCAGTACATTTTGATATTTTGACTGCTGCTTCTATGGGTGTTGATGTGTGTACAAGTAAAACGATATCTTTAACAACTTCAATATTTTCTCGTTAGTCATGGTGTTGCAGAAATATTATGTTGGTCCAGTTGTAAGGGTCTTTGTGTTCTTTATGTTAAGGTGTAATCCATATTGAAGGTTGTAATCTTGGATCTTCATCAGTAAGTCCTTTAAGTCCTCTTCATTTTCAACAAGTAAGGTTGGCACCTGTATATCACAAGTTGTCAATGAGTCTTCCTTCGATCCTGATGCCATGTTCTTCTTTATGTACTCCAGTTTCTTGGAGTATTTGTTCAGCATACAGACTGAATAAGTATGGTGAAAGATACAATCCTGACATACACATTTCCTGATTCAAGCCACACATTGTTCCCTGGTTCTGTTGAAATGAGTAGCTGTCGGTCTGTGTACAGGGTCTACATGAGTTCAATTAAGTGCTCCAGAATTCCCATTATTATTATGCTGTAGAATTCCCAAATGTTATTATGGATAACATTTGCAATGTTATCCATAATTTATGTTCCACACAGTTGAATGCCTTTGCATAGTCAGTGTTTTAATTACCTAGTGTTGCTTTGACAAGAATATATGGATGGCCTTAAAAAAACAGGAGTTTATTCTCTTACAATTTGGAGGCTAGAAGTCTGAGTTCAAAATGCCAGGCTCTAGGGGCTGAGCGAGAGCCCCTCAACCTTGGAGCCCAGGTCTGCCCCCTGATCCCGGCCCACTGGAGTTAGAGGTGTTTCTTCACTCAGACAGCTGCTGCCTGCTGAGGCTGGCAAGCTCAAAGTTAACAAGTAAAAAGGCACAGTCCTGATGTTACCAAACCACGTGGTAGGCTATTAATTTAAGTCCATTGTAAGTCCCAAGGTCAACACAGCATGGCAGGCTGCTGAACAATGCACAGCTACATGCAGGGTCCAAATATGTCATAAGCTAGAGACCATTCCCAAGGCTTCTCCTGATATGCCAGAAGCAGACCACATCCCAAAGGCAGCTTCTCAGCTGCTTGTGTTAGATCCCACCATGGAGTTGATTGCCAGTCTCATCATGGGGAATAACTACCACCAGCTGCCCAGCCATTCAACCAGGCCCAGCCAAGTTGATAGACAAACATAACCATCACAGTCAGTAAAACTTACATAAGTATCTTTCTGATATTATCTGTTTTCAGTCAAGATCCATCTCACATCAGCAAAGATATCCCTTGTTCTATGTCCTTTTCTGAATCTGCCTTGAGTTTCTAGCACTGTCAATGTACTGCTACATATTTTAATTTTCTTTGCAAAATTTTACTTGCAATTTTTTTTTTTTTTAATGTGGTGAAAACATATACAACAAGATGTTCCCCATCATAACAACTTACACACTTACAGCTCAGGGACATTGACTACATTTTTCATGTTGTGTCACCATTATTGCTATCCTTTTCCAAAATATTCCACCACCTATTAGCATAAAGGAGCTCTGGTGGCATAGTGCCTAAGGCATTTGACTGCTAACCAGAAGGCTGGTGGTTCAAACCCATCAGCCACTCCTTGGAAGAAAGATTGGACAATCTACTTCCATAGTGATACCCTTTCGGAAACCCAAGGAGGGGTCTCTATGAGTCAGATATAACTCGCTGGCAGTGAATTTATTTTTTTTTTTTTTTTTGGTATTAGTATAAACTCAATGCCCCCCAAACAAAAGCTTCCCGCTCTGCTCTCCCCCCTACCCCTAGTAACCAGTATATATATATGTTTTTTTTTTTCTCAACCTATCTAGAAATTCCGTGGTAACCAACAAAGAAAATTTCCTTCTCTGTATAAACCCTTCATTGTCTTTTCACAATAAAAGACTAATACAATATTTGTCCTTCTGTGATTGATTTATTTCACTCAGCGTAATGTACTCCAAGTTCAACCGGTTATGCGGTGTTTTGTAGATTCTACATTATTCTTTAGGGTATTCCCTTGTGTATATGTACTACAGTTGGTTTATCCATTCCTCGGTTGATGGCCACTTAGGTTGTTTCCATCTCTTTGATATTGTGAATAGTACTACAATGAACATGGGTGTGCATATATCTATGTGTGTCCCGCCTCTCAGTTCTTTAGGATATATACCTAGTAATGGGATTGCTGGGTCAAATGGTATTT